TCCCGATAGTAGAATTGTCGGACTGTATATTAGATACGGAGCAGGAAATAGAAACGTTGGACATATTAGATACGGAGCAGGAAATAGAAACGTTGGACGCGTCAGAAGCGGGTAGTTAGGCGGGGAAAAAGCCGAGGGAAGGAAGAGCCGAGGGGGTTGCTGAGTGGGGAAGAAAGAAGGGACAATACTGGGGGAATGGTACCATAAGAAGCGGGATAGCAGGCTAGGAAATAGTATAATAAGGATTTAGGTACGTACCTTTAGCTCGTCCGTGAGGGAGTCCGGTGGGAAGCACGAGAGAGAGAGTGTGGAAAAAACCTGGTAGGGCTTATACCCTGCAGGGACCAAAGCACATAACGGATGTACCTAGACGTTTCCAGGCCCTAATGAGTTGGTTTTGCGCCCGGAGGCCCCGTGGCAGACCGGTGCACATGCTAGAACGGACACAGCGAGCGCAATGCGGGCGCGCACATGAGGTCTGGTGGGGTGTAGGCAAGGCGACTCCGTTCTGTTATGCGTAGTGCAGGGAATGCCTACGCCAGGTTGTTACATGTGCGAAGAGGCACGAGTGTTGTATAAGTGAGGGCACGGCCAGAACGTCCCTCAGAGCTCAAGGCGGTCAGTCTGGTGAATGCCGGAGTGTGGTTCGCCCCTCGATAAGCGGTGCGCAACCAGGCGAAACGCGTCGGGGAATGTGCGCGTTTGTGAGCTTGACTGTCCATGTAGTTTTCTGACATATCTGTAAGCATGGACGAGTGATGATTGGCCTCGCAATTTCTTTTTCGTTCTCAGAAGCGTAACAACCCAACGAGAGGTCATACTCGTGGAGGTGGTTACGTCATCTCAACAGGGAAGCAGTGACCAAGTAGCGTATCAAAGCGAGGTAACGCAGCAAAGTAGTACGGAGGCGAGAAGACTAGAGGTATAGTAGCTATAGCTGAGAAAGGAAAGAGGGATTGGTAGGGTCGATCATCGAAGTTAGTACAGTTTGTGGAGTGGTGCGAGGGATTGGAGTGGATTAGTGTGAGGTACTCACGGAGGTGGTTACGACGTCGAAGCAGCAAAGCGAAGGGAACGGAGTGAACAAGAAGAAGGACGATTGAGAGTATGAGTCCAAGGAATGTTGAAGATACAGAGTCGAGGCAGTGGTGTTTCTCCGGTTTCGAAAAGTAGTGAAAGTGAAGGACGGATGAGCGACGAGAGAGGTCGGGAGTAACGACGATGGATCGGAACTGCTTCGAGTGTGATGAGTACACCTAACGGCTACGAGAGTGATCGCTGACGTGGGGAAGTGTCGTGTGTGGAGAGGGTGGTTGACGGGCTAACTGACCCAGGATTACTACCGATACCTGTCGTCTTCCCAACGAAGAGCGCACACGGTGGTCGAAGCACTTCGAGAGCAGGACGTGTTCGTTGACGTTACTAACGCAAACGCAAGAGCAGCAGTGTGAAAGCGGTTGCTGATGCAGGAGAGGGTTCAGCTAGAGTTGGGAGTAACGGGCCACCTGAACGGAAGGAATCAGCAGTGGGAGAACGATCGTTGACGTGGAAAGGGGCTGGGCTCGAAGTTGGATGTGGCGAGTTGTCTGGCGGAAGGAATCAGCGGTGGGAGGAAGATCGTTGACGTGGAGAGGGGCTGGGCTCGAAGTTGGAAGTGGCGAGATATCTGGCGGCGATCGTGGTATTGAACAGACGGAGGGGTGGTATTGAACAGACGGAGGGAAGGATTGCAAATGTGGAGAAAGCTCCCGCGTGAAGGAGGACGTGGGGGACTGCCTGACCTCAGATAGCGGTACTGAGTGGCCAGCGGAGCTATTGTCGGCAAGAGTAGGGTCCGACGCGAAGCAAGGATTGACGGTCATCCTCCTCCTCCTCCTCCTCTTCTTCTTCTTCTCCTTCTTCTTCTTCTTCTTCTTATTATTATTATTATTATTATTATTATTATTATTATTATTATTATTACTACTATTATTACTATTATTATTATTATTATTATTACTATTATTCTTATTCCTCGTATTCTTCTTCTTCTTAGCAAGCGCTTGTGACGCGGCACTTAGTTAGCCTACATCTTGGGACTTGAGGCAGTTCGAAGTTTATTTAACAGATTAGTCGCTCATTTGTTGCGACCTTCAGGTCGCATATAATGGCTCAGTACCCTGGATATGGGGCAGCGTCAAGTGCTTATACACAACAACCTAACCAGACACCCCTTCCACCACCACCACCACCGCCACACCCTCCCCCTCCATCCCCTCCACCCACGTCCACCCAACTCTTCCCACCGAGACCACAGTCTGGTGAGTGCTACACTTGTGGTGAGTATGGACACTATGCAAGGGATTGTCCGAATAAGAGGAACAGGAGGAATTGGAGTGGTATGCAGCAGCAAAGCGGTCAGCCGCAGGTTCCTGGCGGCAATGGGGTGCATGGGCAAAGCACGTACTATGGGGGAGGGCGTAGCTGGCCGAGGAAAGAAGACTCTGACGACAGGATAAACATGTTGTTTGCCTTTATCGAGAGTCAACAGCAGGAGAAGGAGGAACTACGGAGAGCGGAGCTTGAAAAGAAGCGGTTGGAGGAAGAGAAGAGGAAGCTCGATGAGGCCATACAGAGGGAGGAAGCAGAACGTAGACGCACGGAAGAACTGGTAGACGCGAGGGCAGCCCAAGCATTCAGTAAGCAACTGCAGCAGCTTGAGGAGCGAGTTAAAGGACATGTGCACTCGACAATTGACGCCAGATTACCAACCCCGGAGCAGAGAGATTCAACACTGCGTGACAATCTGCCGCGATACATGCACGATTCTGATCCCGAAACGAGACGGGGGCTGCGCGCAATGATCACCCCTAGTCAGAAGAGGAGGTTGGTGTTAGATGACGAAGTGTTGCAGCCAGATGACCAGGTGGAGTTAGTTACCCCACAAGTAACCAGGAGGAGATCGACAATAGCACGGGGGAAAGCTCCTACTGGAGCCGAGGAGAAGAAGAAAGGCGTTGTGGCCTCGTGCTCAAAATTAGGAGTTGTTGATTTTGTTCTGGAGTTGAAGGAGAGCCTGCAAGCGAAGAAAGTCCCAGAGCTGAAGCAGATGTGTAAGAACAAGAATATTAAGTTTATTGTTAAAGATCAGGCAATCAAGGAGCTCGTGGCGGCGGAAGCTAGACTCGCGTACGAAGGATGGCTTGATGGAGTAGACAGTGGGGGAACCAAGAAAGAAAAAGGCTCGTCTGCGGTGGAGGGAGCGGTGCCAGCTAAATGACGGTGTCCACCCCCAGCGAAGCTGCTCTGGGCTAGGCTACGATCATTCATGGGCCTGAGAGACGCACTCTGGGGGAATTACGGTATGACAAGGTTCAAGATTACTGTCGAGCAGGCGATTATAGCGGTGTTTCTACTCCTGACGTTGGCGAGGAAGGTTCCCTGGGCCTCGAAGCTTCTCTCGTTCGTGCCTAAAGACCATGACTTCTTTGACCTTAGTGGACCTGCAGTATACTGCCTGGTGTCCCCGTGGTGTAAGAGGATATACATAGGATAGACTGTACGGGGTGCAGGGGAAAGGTGGTGGGAGCACATACGGTGTGCTGAATCAAGGACCAAGGGGCATGGGGCAAAGCTATATGCTTTTCTTAGGAGGTTTGGCTGGGGGATACTTGGTACTCCCATTAGCCACAGGAGTAGGTTATGACCTCGTAAGACTGGAAGGAACCTTCATAGGCAGGTTGTCACCATCACTGAACACAATTGGAAAAGCAGTGAGAGCGAAAAACAAGGCGAGACCGGGACGAAAGGAGAGGGCGAAGAAGGCAGTTGGGCCAGCTGTTCGGAGAAACACCCTGATAGTGTTTACGGATCTCGCCACCGGAAGGAGGAATGCAAGCCTAAGTACGCTACTCGAAGAGGTGAGTAGAGCGGGCGGGAAAAACATTACACTGACCAGCTCAGGTGGTCAGGTGTGGGGCGAGAAGTGGTCGATCGTCAAGAGGTTATATGGCACGTCCATAGTGAGGACCGATGAAGGGAAAGTCCCGCTTGCAAGAGCCAAGTGCATGATGGAGGCGGGGGGCCAGTTTCGGATTGCCCCGGTGGAGAAGGCAGAAAATGCACGGCTGAGGGGGAAAGGATACCTCAGACAGTTGCTCGAGATGCCGAGGAAGAAGGGGGAGTTGAAAAACTTCGATATTCCGAAGCTAATTTTCCTATACCGCAGTGCGCGTGAGTTCAAGACGAAGACAACGAGGAGGGTACTGAAGGAAATGATAGCGGACGTTGTACGGAAGAAGACAGGCGTGGAAGTTAAGAAGAAGGTGAATGTCAAGGCCACCTACAACCATAGACTAAGGAAGAGAAGGATAAGAGAGACAATCGCAGCTGCGGTGGGAAGCAGCAGAATCCACCCGGTGTTAAAATCGGTGTTGAAGCAGCGGATCAGAGTTGTATGGGGACGCAACAAGAACGTCCAAGAGCTGCTCACCAATCATCGCATGTCAGCAAGAGAGCCGGTAGTCGAATGTACATGCAAAGATGAAGATTTGCCCAGGGAAGGTGGGCATGTGCTGCTCAGAATTGCGCATTACCCTGCGATACCGAGTTTCCTCTGCAATGGGAAAAATATTCTGCAGAACACCACTTGGTCGAGCAGAGGACACTGCAGAGAGAAGTCGAGCGGGCACTAAATGGAGTGATGAGGAAGGAAGATTTACCAGAGGTTGACGGGACAATGCTTGAGAGTTGCGTCAATAGGGAAGGGGGGGAAAGTGCAGCAAGCACGCAGGAAGAAGCACTGGAATTAGCCAAGAAACTGAAACACCTAGTAGCGGTGCCTGTGGATAGAAACCCCGGTGATATAGTGGTTATGTGCCCAACCACATATCACCATGGGTTACAGCTGATATTTTCGTTGAATGCGGCCTATGAGGAAGTGAAATGCATGAAGGAAAAGGAGTTGCTAGCCCAGATTAGGAGAGGCTCCAAGCAAAGACAACTGGACAAGATCGGGGCGTGAAACCCTGCAGCGAAGATCGGGCAAGCATACATCCTCCCGAAGAACAAGGACCTCAATCGGTGGAGACCAATTGCACCAGCTTGCGCGGATGGAGCCAGGACAGCCAGCAGAAGGTTAGCCAAGGCACTCAATTTCCTGTTAGAGAAAGCGCCAGGGGTTAGACACTTCAACCTCAAGGCTACCTCACTACTTATTGGCAACCTCGGTGCAGCAAGCGGCAGGGGGAAGGGGAAGAATGAGGAAGGGTTTCCAATGGCAGCGAGTTACGATATTAAAGAGATGTTCACCTCCTTGCCACACCCAGCGATTATCCAGGCGGTCGACAGGTTGTTGTGTCAGTGGGAAGAGAAGGACGTGACAAGAGTCAGCCTCAGTCGGAGAGGGAGTGTTATTGTCCTTAATAAGAAGAGCCTGGGTCCAAGATATGTTGATCTGAAGTTTGCTATGATTAGGCAACTGGTCACCTTCGAGCTCGAAAATACATACGTGATGAGCAAAGGGAAGATTTTAAAGCAAGTGATTGGGATTCCCATGGGAAAGAATTCCAGCCCCCCACTCGCATGTACGTTGTGCGCGAGGTACAAGGCGGAATTCCTCGGATCATTGGGGAATGACCAGAACCTGGTGCATGGAGTGCGCTTGGTAGACGACGTTACGCTGGTTGTTAAGTGCGATTTATCGGAACCAAGCAGCATCGAAGGTTCGCGGAAGCATATGGGGAGCAGTTGCTATTGGTTCAAACAGATGACGGCTCAAATTCTTGGGATTTTCTGGGCACAAGAATCACAGCAATACCTTGTCCCATCCGGTTTTTGGTTCGGCCAAAGAACAAGAACCATGACTGTGTCGGGAGCGGAGAGCTTCTCTTCTGTTCGTTCCAAG